TGAAGTCTTGGCAACTTCAAATGAAGTACTTTTCCGCGAAATTTATTTCATACCTGTTGAATTTGACTGAGTTATGGTTGTTTTTTCAATTCATTTACATCCATACAGGGTTTTTTCATGAGTTTTTAATATGTGTTGTATAAGTTTAAAAACTTGATTTTTAATAAATGAGTTGTCAGATCAGCTTATTATTGTATGTTCTGGCTTTCTAGTATCATTAACGCCTACACAATGAATGTCGCCCACTGACAAAAATGAATTGTATAAAAAGTATTATTTTATATTCCTCACCTTTTGTCCTGAATAGCTTTTTGTAGTATGTCACACAAAGTAGAGTACGACTAACTCCATAACGTTATCATAAATGGCCTTGTCTCCTAAGGGGATTCATTCCCCCTGAATACGTCTGTGATGAATAGTCACATCATACGGTTTCATCGAACTTTGACTGTATATTTTTAACGAAGGACTATCAATAATGCGTATCATTGATGTAAAGATAAGTGGTATTACCTGAGCAATAGATGGGTGAACTTCCTATGAAATTATCTCTGTTGAAAATGCCGACTGGAAATATGGAAATGCCAAAATCTCTATTTTCTCTTAGCTTTTGCTAATAGAATCCTTCTGCTAGCAGTACCTCACTGATGAGCTAGCTAGTCAACTCCGACTGTCAATATTGTCGACTTACTATCCTCTTCTAGCACTCTGCTTCCAGCTTCATGATTACTCATTACGTTATTCTATCACATACTAACCTTCCTACGAAGACTTTCAATTGATAGTTATTCTTATGTTCTCTGCTACTGGAGTCCATGTTTAGCATATGTAGGTTAAAACAAAAAGTAGGACTTCCGTAATGTTTTAGTTTCTGATTAGATGGTTGAAATTTCAGCAATGCCAGGCCAAACAGAGGGAGATGTGTTGATGTGATGAATGTTTTGGAAACCAGTTTATTATGACAACTACACATATATCTTAAATGCACTCTTTAACTCATTAAATCAATAGAGTCATCCTCAGTGGAAGGTTTATGATTAATTATTTACTTGTACTTTACTTGTTCCATCTAAACTGTTAAGATTTGTTGTGTTCTTGGTGGTAAGGGGGAATGTTTAGTTTCATGAGATATCACAGAAAAATACCTGATATCGTTTGTCACAGAGACGCACACTGACAACTGATTAATTCTTCGTCCTCACTACAGATTTTGTTTTAAAGTGTTTCGTTAACCCTATATTTTTGTAATTCACCTAACAAAAGCTGTATAAATTGAGGTATAATCAAGTCTGTGATTCACTGCTTGCGATTTTAGATCGTTTGTCTTAATACTGTTGCATTTCTATTTACTTATTCTCTGCGGGTTGAGAATCTACAAGTGGGTGGTCTCAGGGTGACATGGAGGAGATCGTGCGCAGAAGAGGTGATAGATTGTGGGCAATCGTGTGCCCGGCTGGCGAGGACAGCAGAAAATAGAACAAAGTGAAGATGTGTTGTTGAAGCCCCTATGTTCCACTTGGAACCCAAGGGAAACAATAATAATCTTTATATTATTCTTCGCAGGTGACTGCATTTTGTATTAACTTCGATTGATTGACTTTAATGTTCTATGTTCTACATTTATATGTCTGATTAATGGGAACTACTTAGTCAAAAATAGCCAGCTTTCCGATAATTCACAAAAACAGACACTGTAATGAGTCGAAAGATTTCGTGTTTCAAAATGTTTTAATGGAAAAGAAGCAGAATATTACTGGTACAACATGAAAATGTTTTGTCTAGGGTTGTTTATATACTTAAATATAATCAAATTGTCAAGAAAAGTAATCCAATATGTTTGTATCTCTGATATGAAAGTTTCGACCAAGCAATACTTTGCCCTGACTAACTTTCCAAGAGCCTAACTCAGGATTATTTCGAATATTCTGTCAATCTCTGATAGATTTTTAGGTGTTTTATTTTGTTTTGTTTTTGCCAGCTTTTGTTATATTTGGTTAGAATAAGATTTAAAAGACAGTTGTTTAATCTTCACTCTGACATTAATTAACCCATTATATGTTCTTTCTGTAGGAATCATGTACAAACTGTAAAGGCACATTGTACTTTTCACATTCTCAATAATTGCTTTTGTGGATTGTGTGTGTGTGTGGTTTGGTTTTCGCTTATTTGCAACTGGAATGTAACTGACACACATCTATCACAAGATTTACCCATCTTTTTCCTATAAATATTTTAATTAATAATCCCCATTGAGATATAAAAACAAAGAATTCAGCGAAGGAAATTCTCTTTTCGATGATTTTATTTTCGTAGCTGTACAATCGTATATATATATATATATGAATTACAATACACAATAAGAATCAGTTTTCTTGTTTATGTGTGTGTGTGTGTGTTTAAGTTTGACAGTGAGAGGAAATACTAAAGTGCTATAATAATTATTGGTGTACAGGATTATGAATCACCGTCGATTAAGATATATGAATGAATAACTACATAAATGGAGGCCAACCTAAAGTTCAATAAACATGTGTGAAATAGACGATCGGAAAATAAAGTATATTCGGAAATGTAAATTTGTGAATGTAATATAACGGATACAGAGGATGAGTGAAATTTTGTCCAAATAGTAGACTAGATGAAATGTTAGACTATGATAACAAAAGTAAAATGAAATAAAACAAAAATGAAAACCGGAATAAAGAAGGATAACAAAATTGTTATGTGGATTACATAGCGAAATCAAGACTATGGTAACAAAACAGATCGTACAAATTGTTTTTTTTATACACAAAGTTCTTGATGTTATGTGTTACCAAAGCCTCTGCTATGCAAAGCAAATGCACTCGTGTCACTTTCAGCATAGCTTGCCGGACTTTGTAGACTATACTAAGCGATGTATCAGATGCTACGTGGTCAGTATATACTAAATGTTGCAATGTCGATGAATTAATACTTCTACGTTCTCCTTTGCTCAGACAAACTGGGAAGTGCTCTCGAACGCGGCGGGATATGTTTCTCGACAAACGTTCCACGTACCTAGCTTCTCAAGAGCAGGTGAACATATAAATACACATGGAATTGGACAGTCGAGGTAACATTTCCTTGATACTAAGGTGCACCAGTGGACGGCTAGAGTAGTTTATTTTTAAAGTAGCAGCAAAGAACGTTTTTCTCAGTGACCTGATCATACTAATTTTAAGTATTTCACTCGTAGTGTTACCCCTAAATTCTAAGTTTATGTGCAATGCTTTTTTAGCTGCCTTATCAATCATTGTATTTCTTCCACGTATTTTGCTATTTGCCTCTACTAAGTGTAGTAGATATGCGTTCTCAATGAAGGTTTCATTTAGTTGTTTGAGTTCATTATCAACAGCATCTTCACCACAAATTTTCCTCACCTGTGTTGAGAGGGAACGGATTAGATACCTTTTTTTGCCTATGGGGACAAAACTGCAAAAAATTGCTCAGTTGTCCCATCCACTTCGAATTTCTGCAAACAGATCTTTTCAAAGACCCGTCATCTCTCCTTTCGAGTAGCACATCAAGGAAAGATATTTTTGCTTCAGTTTCTTTTCCTAAGGTGAACTGGATAACACAATCGTATATGTATATATATATATATATATATATATATATATATATATATATATATACGATTGTGCAGTTATGAAAAAAATATTTCTACCGCTATATATTTCGAAACTGTCTACTTTAACCTCATTGAAGAATTTTATACATGCATGCATATTGTTATCCTCTTATCCCAAGAGGAAGCCTATTTTTATTTCTAATATTTCGTAAATAGCGTTTATTGCAGTGCACTGATTAATGATGGTGGATTTTTTCGCGGCTGCACAGCCAGCATTGTGGTTTAAATCCATGAAGTCTCGGTACTGGGGAAACCCCGGGGTATTATTTTGTGCAAGTTACTTAGATCAATAAATTGATGATTTGCAATTTATGAGTGCTGAATATACAACCTTGCGTCAGTGTCTTGCTCGCCAACTATGCATTTGATATGGGGTTCGATCCCCGGCTACTGTCACACTCCTTTACCTCGCTAAGCTGGCAGTAAGACCGGTAAAGAGGAAAGGTTGGGCATGTGGTTAGTAACCACACCCCTTGCAAATAAATACCACTATTACTGAAACTTCGAAGCTCTAGCCTGAAGTCCTATGTTCCACTCGGAACGTACAAGGATAATATAAAATAAATAAGAATACACAACTTTTGTAATTAACAGTATGTTTCTTGTCTAAACCATGCTGAGTTTTATTCGGATCACGAAAGTTTCAGCGCAAATCTTCTATTTGAAGATAAGTAAAATTAGCGTTCAGTAAATCTCAATTAAGCGATTATCTAATTCGCCGAGACTTCAAAAGTTATTCACGTATCTTAGATCTCAGCTTATATTACTTCTAGAGATATTCAACGTGTGGAGAGAGATAAGTGAATTATTTTAAGGTTGATTATGACATCCCGTTTAAACTTTCTAAGTGCTAACAACAATTCCACATAAGATCACTGCTTTGAAAATATAAATGGCTGATCGTCTTTCATTTGTAAATAATGTTCTAAAAATCTAGAAATAGAGGAGAGGAAATTTGCTGGCATGTATATATTTGATGTCATAAATGTTGAAACCTAGTATCAAATGTATATTTCTATTGAAGTTGAAGATACATAGGAAGTTTGTCCCTCATGGAAGACACTGGCTCATGTGATACCTTTAAGAAGTAGTTCAATGGGAGCGTATGTGTGTGCTCACATGAGTTGTAAGGGGAACCAGGAGACCTTCACTTTACATGGCTAAGTTCAATTTATCATTGTTCTAATTCAAACATTTCCAGGTGAGAACAAGCATCACCGAAGATCCCCTGCTTCTCAATCCGACTTGTTTAGAATAGAAATGACCATTCGATTAAATATTTATTTTGATTTATGTTTTTTTGGTTGTTGTGAAATTCATGATTCCTTTTCAATTTTTACATTTTTAGATGTCTTCACGGTACTTCAAGAATCCGTATCGTGATGTATTGTCTGAAACAGAGCCTCTGTTGTTAAATCCTTCGTATGCTCTTCAAAAAGCTGTTACATGTATACGTATGTGCATTGAGGTAAGAGAAACTATTCCTTAAAATATTAGTCTGGTGGAAAACCTTTTAGCAAATTATTTTTATAAATAAAACATTAGAAGGCTCATACATTGTCAGACAAAAAATGCTCCTTTATTTAGTATTTTTACTTATCTGGTTTTACAGGTTACGTGCAATGTAGAATGCCTCTAGGGATTTGATTTGCGAGTGAAAATTCAAAGTCTAAGCTTTCTGGAGTGACACATATTCATAACTAGTATTCCCATCTATTTAGCTTTTCACTATACTTCAGTTTCTCTTATAAATTTATCTGTGATGCATTCGTTTATTGGTCGATAGATAAACATTTTGTTGACGTAAGCATATCTTCACTTTCAAAACATGTATCGGAAATGTTAGTGATTCCCTACGTCATTTTAAGTCTCGGATTAAAAATAATTCCCAAACCTTCAAAGTTAGAGAGATAAAGCATGAAAACATCTAAATTTTATCACCCAATTTCTATAACGACTGTTCCGTGACATTTGAAGGATCGCAGGCCGTCATCCTACACTCTGTTAGGTGTCGAACTAAGAGTTTATAGCCCTATATACTGTTTTCTTTCTCTTCTCTGTTTTCTTTTAACTTTTGCTAATCCAAACGTCCTAGTACATTTGCTCGTTGAGGACGTTGGTAGTTGGACATACCTCAGTGCACGATTCGGCCTATCCCGACTCTCAATATCGTCGGGTTGCTTTCCTTTTATAAAACTGTATTTTCAACCTTAACATTATTTATCATACATGATTCCCTTAGCCTAGTCCACCATAGGAGATAATCAAAACTGAAGTATCTTTACTCCAACCTTTTCTCGGACGTTGAATGAAACATCGGAGGTTGCAGACCCGAGAATACCATTCGGATTTGCCTATAAATTCTTGAATAAATATCTACCAGTGTTTGACACTAGCTGTAGTTTTCAGTTAAAAAGTAGTATCTTATTTTTTCTCTTGAAAAATGTATGTGCCTCATAATTAGAACTCACACAGTTGCATAGATGCGTAAACTGAGTTTCTCATGTGGTGGTATGACAGCGAACTGTTCTTGTGAATCTGTCATCGATGATATAACTACCGTAATGTCAATTGGATTTATATATGCGCTACTACTAAATAATATTTGTGAAACTATAGATATCTTAATATCAACATCTTTGCAAAGTATATCAGTGCTTCATATCTATATCAATTCATGTCAGTTTAAATTTGTTATATAATTTATAGGTTTTGTAGGGATTTCGTTTGATTGGTTGGCGGTTTTCATCATGAGCTGACATCAGCTAGAGAACCTATTGGAAAACCTGCAGGGAGTACTGGTTAGCTGCTTCTCCCTAGTTTGGGACTCTTCATCAGTACGCGACCATCGAGGTTCGAACCCGGTTTTATCCTGTGTATCATGTTAAAGCGATTTTTCTCTCTTCACACATACTTTTCCTTTTCCAATATTTTTTCAGTTTATTAATACTCATTATTATCATGCAGTGTTTACTCGCCTACACGTTAATTACTACTAATCATAGATTGTCGTACCAGCGAATGAAGTACATAGTTTTTGAATTTTTCTTTAACTTATTCAACTTTACCAGATTGAATCAGTCCTTTGTTTAATGTCCAAACATTTCTACCCGCAGTAGTCATCAAAGGCGTTTTTTTTTAAAATGAGGTCAAAATCATACTACTTCATAGTAGTATATATATGTATCTCCTAGAAATCCTCATAAGTTGAATGATTATATTGTTACACACTTTAAGGAATTTAAATTTTTTAATATTTATTTGTCTGTGTAGTATGATGATCGATCAGTGCAACAAAAGTATTTCATAAAAGTGAATTTTGCATTTATAACATTCAGCGTCATCCCTAACACGTCTTTTTTTTAACCTATGTGAATACATTAGAACACTGGTCTAACACCGCGTACATTCGATGGTTGCCTTTATACCGGTTATATTGGTGTTGCATGGGCTGCACTGTATATTTCTCAACATGAAGTTCCACTTGAAATCAAAAAATATTTGTTGGATAAGTCTACTCATTTTGTGGATAGTGCTTTGATGCATTCAAATGATGATATGTTTAGTAAGCATTCAAGAAGTAAAGAAGACCTACTATCATTTCTTCTTGGTCAGACTGGAATCTGGTTAACTGCCATCACTATGTATCAGGTAATTGTTTAAATTAATTCTTTCTACATGAATATTGATCATAGACTTGTAATGTTACTTTTTATCTGTCTGTTTCAAACTATCAAAATTGTGTTGTACAGCTGACGCTATTACTATTTATATTTCATCCAATATTCCATGATTACATAGTACATTGTCAACTTATTATCACTATTCAACAGTCTTCGTGTGAAAAGTAACCATTACCATCAAATGATCTCAATCTAAAGTCTGTATACAGAAAACCTGATTTCATTAACCTCGCATTATTCTGATTACTTGTTTTATTTTTGTTGCGTCACAGTCTTCACATAATTTTGATTTTCACTTTGCTGAGCTGAATTCATTATTAATCTTCCAATTCACCTATTGTTAAATTGAGTCGAAAAGAGCAGACGTTATGCAATAGGTTAAATAATCAATAATGTTATTTTGACAACAACTTGGTAACCAATGCTGTTGCAGATAATTTCTGTTTTTAAAGTAGGTTTTTAGGCTTCTTCAGAACGCTTCATTCTTTAAACTCATTTTAAGTTCATCGACTGGCTAGTAGTAGTCTGTTTGTTAACAATAATTTGATCTTATGTGGACTACAGCAACTTGAAAGTAACTAATATTAGTTGTTTAATTTGTGGATGGTGACTAGCAGTGGAATCCAGGATGCGCATTTCGTCCTATTTGGGACCCGTCAGCCGGATGTATCTGCATTTCCTAGTGAGTGATGATGTTCCCATCGAGGCTCGAACCCAGTGCCCAGACATCGTCGAAGCATCTTCACAAGAAGCGGATATGTCAACCTGAGACGGAGCCCTTTGGTCCAATCAATCAACGGGAAAACCTCAAATTCAATTAAATTATTATTAGTTGTCTTTGGAAACAGCAAATGTAGTTCAGGTTCATCGGTATTTGGATTTCTACATTATGTGAGCTGATATGTGATATTAGATAGTTAAAGGCAAATGGCAAAAAGCCTTGGACCTAGGTTTCGTGCTGGTTGACACTCACCAGTCAGCAAGGTGTATTTGCAACCTTCAGGGAACCCATATGTCCTTTCCGAGCTTCGAACCCGCGTCACCCAGTGCTGCAATCAGAGATGTTACCACTGAGCTGTTCGGGCTGGCGACTGACCTCCTGTAGGACTGTAGGGGGTAATTTCATTGGACACTAGTAGCTAGTGTGACGTATCTAGTCCTTCCTTTGGTGCAGGCTGAATTCTATCAGTCAGGTTTGCAATGAGGCCAATCTAATGTCATCAAATCAATGTGCACCGTGATGGCGAGCCACCTAGAATGGTGGCCACATTGCAAACCTGACTGATAGAACTCAATCTGCACCAAAGAAAGGACTAGACACGTCGCACTAGTTATTAGTGTCCAATGAGAACTGATATGTAATAGTAAGCGTAATTTTCATTTTAAGTAATTCTGTGATTACGTAACAATTTATATTACTACTATTAATATTATTATTTTCTTTTCAAATCGAAAATAAATCTAAGCATTCAGGTGATATAGAGAAGCGTGATTCATTTATAAGAAAATATGCTGAATTAGCCGACCACTACAAACCACTAGTTATATTCCAGCAAGGTTCAGATGAAATATTTATTGGCAGAGCTGGTTATCTACTTGGCATTGCTACACTTCGACAAATGACCAAACAGGTAACATTTATCTTGTCATCTAAAATTTAATGAAAATCATCTTTGACTTTATTTTTCATTGTTTAAATGAAGAGGCTGTAAAGCATTTTGATGGTACCGTAGCTCACTGAACAACATATATTCTTAATTCTTATCGATGTGAACCGCGGGTTAGCATTTCATTTCGACCAATTGAAATTAAAGATTTTGTGATATAAGTGTCGTATTGTAAAATACATGAAGCCTACACTTTAATAGGTTGTTTTAATAACAATAATAATAATATCTTTATTCTGGACAGTATTTATGAAATGTACAGAATTTTCGGAGGAGTTTATTGCGTGATATTTTCCCTTCGTACAATATCTTCAAGTAAAATATTAATTTCCGGATCCCTGTGAATCAAAGGCCTCTGCTCTGTAACCTTCACGAAATCCACGATATCTGTTTAAAAGCCAATTGTAAAATGTTCAGAAGTACATTTTTAGAGCCAGGGAAATAACTGATGAACAGTTATCTTGTTTATCGGAACACGTTACCACCCACAATCAGGCCATTCCTCAAGTTTAGTAGGAACTCGCGAATCAGGTGCTTGTAAACACAGTGCGTCGGTGGCACAGTGGTTAGGACTCTCGCCGACCATGCACATGGTCCGGGGTTCGAGCCCTCGCCGACGCACACCTGATATCTATGGTTGGCCTGCGAATTTTGGGCTACCGATATCCACGCTGAAAATTCCATACTTGTACCAAAAATACGGTGTGGAATCAAGCTGTAACCATAAAATAAATAAATAAAAAATAAAAAATAAGAGTAGGTAATACCACTAGAGTTTATGTTTATGCAATAGAAAGATGGAAAATTTTGGAGCACAATTTTGAAGCAGGCTACCGCCACTATTATTATCATCACTATCAGTGCTAGTGGTTCACTAGTAGAATACTCACCAACTACGTACGTAGTCTGCGCTCGATTCTCAACCGACGCACCCTTAAACTTCGCTTAATTGGTAGTATACGTGACAAAAAAAAGGGAAGGTTAGGTGTTTGTGTGTGTGTATGCGTTTGGCTGTCAACTCCACTCCTTAAAAACAACACCGATCTTGAAAATTCCAAATTCAAGCTTGAAGCTGTATGTCCCAATCGGAATGCAAGGGGAATAAAGAGAACGGTTATAACCACCAATATGAGTACTTTCGCTTCAGCCATCAGTAAGAAACAGTGTTGTCCACAGCCCGCCCACACAGTTATTTGTAATTCATTCTCAACAATAAGTGGAAAATACATACGGAAGTTTTAGATTTAAAAGCATTGTGCACGATGAGAATCTAAAATAATTTGACCAGATATGTGTTCGTTAAGATGAAAAAATGCAAAAAAATTTTTTTGTTGCTCTATCTAAACAAATAGGAACTTCATCAGACTTCTCATTGCGTGTATTCCCGACGTACTGAGTGTTCATATTTCTCTTTTACTATATATAATTCACCTTTTGGAATGTGAATTAGTCATAACCGTTATCTGATGTTGCTACGTTTGTCAAATTTTCAGCTGGATTACGCGTATTCCCATTGCTGAAGTGAAGTGAACAGTATAGTTTTTCTTAGAACAGCAATTTAATATTTCGTCTTAGAGATGTAGAAAATACCTCTGAAAGCATCTAGGTACACCTTGTTCTCTAATTTGAAGCCATTCTTCACTGTAAATTAGTACCAACGAAATCACCACTTATTAAAATAAACGGGATTGAATATTTCCCTTCTCTCCTTATCTACTGAAATCTCTGTTATGTATGTACAGAATCAAAGATACAATTCTCAAATCTTGTCGTGATCAAATGATTGTTTCACAATTAAGCACATAACTAGAATCAATTACAATACTGTACTTTAAATTGATCAGTCAACGGCCATTCACACTTTCACCTTCTTCGCTAGATCACCTACATGTACAGATTGATTGACGTTGGGAAATTATGATAACGTGTGTAACACTGAGTTGATAAGATCTAACGTTATCCAACATGTTAATAAGACATTCAAATATAGATATAAGGATATAACTTGGGCACTCTGGTAGAGTATAATTCCATCATGGAGAAAATTTTTATCCTGATAGAAGCATTCCCTATTATACAGCAATATTTACTGGTGACGTTTCAAGCACAATTTCCTACTGCTCCTAATCATATCAAGGCAGTACTCACATAACTTTCTTGCTTCGTTTATTATATACATGAGTAAAAATTGATTAGAAATTTGAATTAAATCAATATAAAACTTGCGTGAAACAGAATGGAAGATAAAGTACATTCGGAAATAATATTAGGTTAAACTAGTAGATCGAGAGTAGTGGGATTCTGAGAACATAAGAATTTAGCTAAGGTTAGAATAATTGACCCCATGAAGATAAGTAATGTGGAAAAAATAACTCAGCCATCTCACTGCATGCATTCACACACTACACAATGGTGTGGGTGGGACAAAGTCGAAATTCTAAAAAGTAATATAGGTAGGTGGAGATAGATAGAGAGAGTCTACACCGAACACATGCAATAGAAGTGACTCAACGCAAATACTAGAGATATGGAAGATATTGTTACCGCCGGTCAAATCAGAGGATAATAAGTAATGTTAAAATGTATTCAGTTCACATTATAACATTCTAACAAGTTACTTATTTTTACTATAAAAACATCTTATGTTCCATCTTATTGACTAAGAACACTCGTCTTAATTCCCATCGTATTATATTTATTGATAACACTAATATTCATTATGAATGTACTTTATCTTCCATTCTGTTTCACGCAAGTTTTATATTGATTTAATTCAAATTTCTAATCAATTTTTACTCATGTATATAATAAACGAAGCAAGAAAGTTATGTGAGTACTGCCTTGATATGATTAGGAGCAGTTGGAAATTGTGCTTGAAACGTCACCAGTAAATATTACTGTATAACACTGAGTGCTTTTATCAAAATAAGGACTCTCTACATAATAAAATTACATTCAAAAAAAATTTCTGTATCCACATTCTATATCATTTCAGATCATCCTTATTTGTCAATATACTAGGAATATATATGCCTCGTACTGTTAATTAAATTCTCTTTTAATACTCCATTGGGAATTCACTGTTTTTCTCGTTACACGTTGCCAATTTGTTACAACTGCAATGAAATGAATAAACTCCATAGCCAATTTGTTATGTCTGCTCCTGTTAATTATTCTAAGTGTTATGATCTCGACTAGTAGGCTAATATGCCTATATGTTCGTTGTAGCTTCCGATTCACTGGGCCACGCAAATATCAAAAGACAAAGGCTGGCCTGTGACTGTGTAAGGTATTGTATTGTACCTTTATTCGGAAACAAAACACGATAGTTATACATTTTCTTTACCATAATAAAGTCGGCTTACAACCGTGGAAATGGATTGTTCTTATTGGCTTCCAAGGGCTGTTGTTCTCATTGGTTGGTGATCCGACAAAGACCAAGGTGAAACAAAGGCGATGAATAGATCACACACTAAATCACAAGTGCATGAGAAACGATAGATCCACATTGAGACTCCATCACAAAATAAATCACTTGATTCGTGAGAAAGAATGATATACTATTTCATGCTGGCTCCTATCAAAAATGATATCAGACTCACTTAAATGAGAATATGTTTAAACAGTTACATTTTAACCTGGAATATCAAGTAATTTTCCATATCATTTCCCACCCGCTTTTTCCAGGTTATTGTACCGAACGCAAAAATTTATGATATATGCAACGCTATAATTAACTCTGGACAAGCCTACTCATCGAGTCATCGTAGTCAATGTCCCTTGATGTATGCCTACTATGAGACAGAATATCTTGGTAAGATTTTTCATGCAACTAAATTTACTGTCCCACAGATTACACTAATTCTTCTGTAAAACAACTTATTTTTCACCTTATTGCTTTGACTGTAGCAACTCTCAGATAAACCAGAAGAATTTGCTACTACAACAACTGGAATCATTCCCAAGATATCAACACTTAGTGTTTTTGATTTCAGCATTCTAATACGTATATTTTAGTGTTTACAAATAACACAGAACAGAAAAAAAAAGTTAGCCAGATTAAGTGATAATTTAGCATTTTACCGACTGAAGTGTCTTAATATGTGATGACTGCTCTGGCCAACCAATTTTCAGACCCCAAATTTCCGAATGACTAAATTCCATAGTCAGATCAAATGATTTCTTGGCTTATTATTGTATGAAAGTTGTTGTACAAGTTGTCGCCAAATGCTGCAAAACCTGACTAACTGTATGCATAAAACGGAAATTTTTGTATTTATTTCTTCCCGCTATTTTTTCAGTTGTGAAGTAAACCAGTGCCTTTTTTTCCAAAGAAGAATGTAGTCATATGAATGTTAGGTCAGAGGTTTTTTCTTAAGGCGTATTATTCAACTTTTCATATTTTTACCGTATGAACCTGTTGTGTTCAATGCAGGAGGAATCGTAATCAACCTAAATTTTTCCCTGAGAATTTTATACACCTTATGCTATATGGTATCAAAACACTTTCGAACTAAAATTTTTGTTGTATTCAACCCTGAAATTGAATTTATCTATTGAACCCCTATCGTTGCACACCCGACCGAAAGCTGCTACCTTGACGTGGTGGTCGGGCTTGAACACCGCAATGATCTATTCAAGCTATACTGGCTGAGACTTATGTCTCTTGAGGTCCTACCATGCCAGGCAGGTTGTTTGGATAGCGGTTAAACAAAAAGCAGCTACCCAATCCAACATCATGATAAATACAAAATCACAAAATTTCATACCGGATCGGCCGTGACCCGGATTAACAACGACCGTTGCACATATTCCTAGTTTGTACTGTTCCCGATTGGTTTAACATGTTGCTACAAAAACACTGCATGCAAATATGTGGCAGCTCACTTGACTACCGAATATGACTACTCACTGTCATTGTCTTCTGCTTGACCCACTGAACGAACTATCATCACATCAAAGTTGGCTTTTGACTATTTTAAAGACCATTTTATTCGACAGAAGTATATACATGAAATTATGGCAGATCAGTCGTGAAAAAGCTTGAATTAATTGACTGCGTCAGACGAAACCTTCCAACAAAATTATCCTGTTCTCATTAACACCATGTATAGAATTTTTGAACAAGGTCAAGGAAAGCATTTCCAACAAGCTGAAAACTTTCATTAACAGTTGCTTTTTTTCTCCATACTACAGACTAGGTGACCAGAAAAGATTCTTATTACCATTAACGATAATATTATTATTATTGCTATCACATTGACGCCCGAGTGGAACATATGCCTTCAACAACACATCTCCATTTCGCCCTGTTTTCTGAAGTCCTCTTCAGGAGGTCCCACCTTTTCCTGCAGGCTCTCATCTCCTCCGAACCACACCTGGACAATAAACTCCTCGTTTCGTACTCGAGCGCCTAGCTTGTGTTGTTATTCAACAGTCTCCTCAGCGTGTGTATGATCCGTTTCTATTTCCTTCGGAATATACGATGCGAAACATAATCTTGGAAGCCTTCAACACCAGAGTTATCTTCTGCTAGTCCTTTCTGGCCTGCCGTCTGATCTTCAGTATGGATTGGATAGGGCCATTGTTGATAAAAGTCTGCAGTCTGTTCGAAGTGCTCTCGGCGACGCGCCTAGTCTCTGAACCATATAAAAGAAATGACCTGACATCAGTGTTTGAAATGCGAATCTTGTTCTTCATTCTGAGTGCATTCAATTTCCATATTGATTTCAGATTAACTAATTAATGAAGGTCTGTTTCGCTTCTGGGATCCTGACTCAAATATCCTTATCCATCCTACCTGTAGTTGAACAGGTGCTGTCCAGATAAATAAGTGGGAATGGTGACCGTCAAATTTCTCTCGTTGACAGTACTGCCTGTTGTTGTTGTAGGTGGTGGTGGTGGCTATCTCCTTCACTTGTGTCTTCTCTATATTCACTTGAAGTTCCATCTACGCTGCTGCTTCTGCTGTCAATTTGCTGGTCTCTGCCTTCACATCTTCGAGTTTTTGTGACACTCGACAAAAATCATCGACGAAGTCTAAATCTTCCGGAGTCTTCTTGTGGGTCGACCACAATCAGGAGTACCACTGGTAATAGTGTGCAGCCCTGTCTTACTCCTGTCCCTACCTGAAAGGCTTCGCTGAGCTGAGATTTCCGTTGTGAATCTCTCCACATATGATATCATCATATAGTTGTTGAATGAGGCTGATAAAAGTTTAGGTCACTCACCACATAATGTTGAAGTCGTTTCCAAATTACTTCAAAGTCAAGGCCACCGAAGACTTTTTAAAGTTGATGGAATTGAGATCGAGATCTGACTGTCATTCTACACTAGTCCGTATTCAATGAAGTTGTGTAACATTGTAATTTGATCCATGAATGATTTACTTTTCCTGAATCCAGCTTGTCTTCGGAGGAGTTTTGCATCTAAATCATATTTAAGTGTCTGCATCAGGATGACGCAACTTAATATTTTGCTTGGCGTAGAGGGAAGAATGATTCCGCGCCAGTGTTTTCGAAGGCTTGAGTCACCCCTCGTTGGTAGTTGGCAGTTAGCCTCTCTTGCAATGAGTAGGTGTCTTTCCTTCCTTTCTTCCTTGTGAACTTTCTGCAATAGTGGTGTGAATATATCTACTGAGGTCACTGGATCCGTTTCCATTACTTCAGGAGATCGGCCTGGTGCTGCTGCCTTCACAGCTTCCAATAACTTTATTGAATTGAAGACTTCTGCTTTTGTCAGAGGATTGGCGTTCACTGGCACTTCTGTGATGAAGTTCGTCGACGGGTTGTAGGTGGTGGTCGGTTGAAGAGTCTTTCGAAGTGGTTCCTTGGAAATTATCTTCCCTTCGCTATCTTTCCTATGTGTTGGTCTCTTCCCAGGTAGTGAGTTGCATATCTGATGCAATGTTCTGAGATCTCTTTTATCTGCTAGTTTCCCTGCTTCAGTTGATAGTGCATTCTAGAATCGTAAAGTGCCTTAACCAGCACTCTTTTTCACTTCTTTATTTAGTGAGCTGAACTCAGCTCTTCTTTTCGTTGTTCATCTTTGTACTGTTTCATCTTCAGTTTAACCGACTCTCTGTTGTCTATTAGCTTTTAGGTGTTTGTAGAACGCCTTTCGTTGTTTTGTGTCTTTTTTCTTCCTTCCTATGATGGCTGATTATATAGGTTTCCCTGAAGATCACCTTTAGATAGTTGCAGTGTTTTTCCACTCAAGTTTTCTCAGTGAAGCTACATAGTGTCTTCGATCTTGCTGTGATAGCTGCAGTGAAGAATTCTTTTGTAGTTTCTTCCTTACGTTCCTGGGTGTTGAACCTAAAGACTTTTGACTTGACCTTGAAGGATCCATGTACTAAATAATGGTCTGAACTGATGTCTGGTCTTCTTCTTGATTTTGTTTCCAGCAGGCTGAGTTTCCACTCTCTCGAAGTTGAGATGAAGTCTATCTGATTTTTGGTGTATCCCTTAGGTGAAATTCATACCGCCTTGTGTATATCCTTGTGCTTGTATGTGCTGCCTCTAATCACTAAACCATTGAAGACTCAGAAGTCTATGAAGAGTTCTTCATTCTCACCCATGTCGCTGAGGGCCTTCCGACCAGTGATGAGTTCTCTTGTTATATCGTCTGCTACTGGTTCGACATTCATTCATTCATCACCGATTAGGATTTTGATGTCGCGATTTAGGGTTTTGTGTGTAATTATTCGCGATTGTCTGTGGAAGTCTTCCTTCTTATTCTGCGTTGTTTGTAGGAGCGCCCTAGGATTAAATAATTGCAACTTTCCTACCTTTTTAGTTGAATCATGCTTTGATTACCCTGGTGGAGATTGGTTCCCACTCCATAATTACCCTCAATGCTATTAGTGACATCATGATGATAGCCACTGCTTCAGTGTGTTTATGTTTGTCGTCTGGGTGGGTGACTGGAGTAGATTATTGACTCTCCATGTGACGATTTGGACAGTACCACTGTAACAGCAGAATGCAAAACGCGGAAGCTAACGTATATTTTTCATTAATCAAACCTCTGTTTAAATAAATACAGTTTATATTCGTTAACCAATCACTGAGCGTGTGATTGTGGTTTACATTAAACGAAATGAAATTAGAATGTTCAAATAGACGAATAGTATTCTGTTGCTAATTCAGTATTGAACTGCTGGAATATGTGAGAAGCATATTCCTTTGGAAAACACTGTCTGTATCACACCACCACAATAGTAGTAATCCACATAATAAGCAAAGGATAAAAGTTGAAAAAACAAAACGAAAAATAAGTCGGAGCAAAGTATGAAAGGGAATTATTGTACTTTAGCATATACGGACCATGAGAATGGGAATGATTGAAAATATTTTCTCTGTGCACTCAGATCTGGCTTTTCTGTTTCGATGGCTGAAGCTTCAGCAATACATCTAAGTCAGATAGTAACAGACAAAAAGTTTAATTATAACAGTAGAAATCCATCATCATCCATTGCAAAGCACTTAATAATGTCAGGTCACAAAATCAATACTAATGACTGTTTCACAATTATTTCACACAATTCTAATTCAAGGTGGTGGAAGCACTTTGGAGGATTAATCACATGCATCCTAAACTATGTGTATAAAAACAATAAACTTCAGCCTTCACCTACAATGGACTACTTGACCTATTTAACTATGATTGGTCACTAGTATTTACTTTTATTTTATATAACTGAATAATTGTCATGAATTTTGTTTTATTATTGTTAACCATGTTAGTTGTAAAGCGGTTGTAAAGAAACTACGAAATGATATCATCTCGCAAAATTTGTTTTCTAAATGCCTT